AAAAATTCCTAGAATATCGATGCAAGCAAGACATCATAATCGGGGGTGAGGGTTATGGGTAAGGGTGGATGGGGGGAATATTTTATACCTCGGCGAGCATATGCATCCATTCATACAAACCCTTTCACTTGTTTCTGCTACAATAATAAAGTGTTTTTTTATTAACTTGATAAATATGTACTTTTACTGGATCCAGTGAACAAATAAAATATATATTTATTAATTACCCATTATGTATGAGATATGTGTCAAACATCTTTCTGGTCCAGTGTTTGGCAATTCTCCGTCCATACCCCAGGAGAAGAGGAACACCGTTGGCCGCAGAGAAGAAACTCATCTTACCAGGCAGACACACTTGCCACTATACCTCGGTCTCATAGTCTGATGGGGAAACTGGTCTCATAGTCGGATGGGAAACTGGTTCTGATCAATGCTCACTGGGGTCGAGTAGCTTCATGAAGCGGTTTCTTCTCCTGGTGTCAAGTTGAGCAAGTGGTTGTTGTGATGATAGAGTGAGAGTTGTCACAATGCATATAGTAACTGAGTAAAAATGAAGAAGAAAGTTAAGTATATCTAACCAAAATTATGAGTTGAATAATTAAACAACACCTCACAGCTCCATCTGATAAGAAGATGTGGCTATAGTGATGAGTCGGCAACATTGCAGCAAATGAAAAAAAAATTATCTGTAAATTCTCATTTTTGTCAGGTTTATAGAGATTTGAAGTGGCATATACAGTGATTGAGGTTCTGCTGTTCATGCATCAACATAAAGAAAGAATCTATGGATGTGGTAGGCAAGCCCAGGATAAAGGACCTTGTCAATAAGGTTAGCTTTCCACGAGGATGTACAGCTATCGTTCACCGTAAATGACTCATGGACATGCATGAATTTTTACCCCTCAAGAATGCTGTGTGCATATAGTTCAACCCCTTATTTTTTGCATAAAAATATGAACATAAAAACTTGGACGGTACTCAAATATATATGGTATACGGTACTGTACTGTACACATCCACTTTATCTGGGGTGGCCACACATCTGGCTTTAGGCTGGACAATCCGTTTTTTTAGTTCTCTGTCTTCCATCTGGCTTAGCCTCTAGCTCAGCGTTTCTTGACCTGGGGTGGGTGCTGAAATCGATTTTAGGGAGTGCCTGGAAAGGCCTTATTTTTGGAGAATGAACAAAATAAATTATCAAGCAGTACTTTACTTATACTTTTTATAGCCCTGCAGCAACTGTAGTCTCTACAACCAGCTGAAGGGGATGTTGGACTGCCTAGACTTCACTACAGGGCGTGCTGAGGTCAGAAAAGATTAAGAAACGCTGCTCTAGCCGGATGCTGATTCTGATTTGTCTACCTTTTTAATGTCTTGACAAAAAAAACACTTCTCCAGAATTTTCACGCATTTACCAACTTTTTAACTGTGAATATAGGATATAGCGGTGTTTACAAGTAATAGTTAGCAACCCTGATTGCAACTGTCAAACATATCTCCTCACCTCCCTCCCTTCCCCCCATCTCCCAGATAGTAAACAGACCATTTCGCATCCCTTAATTTTAGCTGTGTTGATTTATGAGTTTGTTTTAACATAATACTACAAAAAACAATGTTTTGTTTACTCTAAGAGATGGGCTGAGGTGCATCTGGGTAGACTGTCAGTTTTTTCAGTATTTTGTGTTTCTCTCAAGTACCAAACTAAATTTTTCCATTGAAATAACTCTTCGATTTAGTGTGAATTTGGTTTAAAGCAACCTCTCATGGAACTTATCTCGTGTTATATCAGCGTTCTACTGTAGGCAATTTCTGGACCTTCCGAGAAAAATTTTCCGTTACTCGGAAATTCTGGAAAATTCCGGGGATGAGGGATATTTTTCCGGGTTCAACAGATAATGTAATGGGCAATTTATGACACGTCCTAGAACATTTTTCCATTACCAGGAAAATTCCAGGGATGAGGGATTTTTTTCCGGCTTTAAGAGAGTCGTCTCGTTACCCAGAAATCTCTCATTCCCGGAAGTGCTCTGCACCAATTGTTCCGGCTAACGAAGATATTATTGTATAAGCACATGGGGACAAAGGAACCTTAATAATTTTTTGCAGCTCTGAAAGCTTCCAGAATCTAGAACCTTACCGACATCTATTAACACTTTAAATAAAAACAACTGAAATTACTGAAAGTATATCTTAAGAATGATCACTTTACTTTAACTAATTTTTCATGTGCTGTAATAAGCCAATCTGTGTTAGTGTAATATGCTGGCTGTTGTTTTGAACAGTTGTGCCTCCCTGTTAATATGAATGCCTGAATACCTGTTCTGTAATGGATACTGTCTGAGTAACGACGTCGCTGTGGATTGATTAGTCTGGTATACAGCAAAGCCTCGAATAACGACGGTAATGTGTCTCCAATATTGCAGTGTATGGTGAATCATCATATCGCAAATCATTAGTTACCATTCAAATAAAGCAATAATAATGAGATGGGTTCTCAAGTGTGACCTTTTCATATCTTTTGTGTGGCTTTTTACCCTCTTTTCCCCCAAAAACAATACAATTAATGAAAATTGTAAACTATACAGCTAGACCCCGACTTACGACGGGGTTAGGGACCCAAATCCAGGTCGTAAGTCCGAATGGTCGTAAGTCCGACGTAGATAAAAAAAAAAATAAATAAAAAATCTACAATGAAATACAGTACAGTAAAAGTAATAAATAATGAGGAATGGATACAGTACAGTGAAAGTAATAAATAATGAGGAATGGATACAGTGTGACTGAGCACTTACCTTTAATGTAGTCAGCTGAATGCACATGGGGCCCCCATAATTTTCTAATTATACATGGAGACTACATTAACTGGAAACGTTTCGGTATAGAAAATGCGTGCGTCGTTTGAAGAAAAAAAAATGGTCACAACTGCGGCGGTCGTAAGTCCCGACGGTCGTAAATCCAAGCAGTCGTAAGTCGGGGTCTAGCTGTGTTCTTTAAATAATGTTTCTGAATGCCACTTAACACAAAATAAATGAATAATAACATGGTCACACGAGAGGAGATGGGACGCCATCGTTTTCGTTTATGTTTACAGCCGGGAGTCCAGGACGATAGTTCTCCATGAGAAAATGAAGAAAATAAGACCCTGGTTGTAGCTGTAGTAAAATTAATGTTCATAAATGGAACAATAGAAGTAGCTAACCACTAATGGAAAAAAAAAAAAAGATGGATTGAGAATGCCAACATATACGTGTGCATTTAAGGATACCACATTATTTATCTTTTTAAGAATATGTACAAAAGATTCATTATTGTCTATTACTGAATATGTATTTGATTGAATTAATCTTTATATATGTGAAATGAACAATGCAATTCATTAATAATACGTAGAATATTAAAACACACACGAGAAGACAGGACGACACTGTTTTCGTGAGTGACGATGGTTCTGCATAAGAAACTGAAGAAAATAAGACCCTGATTGTAGTTGTAGTAAACTTAATTTAAAAAACTTGAATATCAGTGTATGTATTTTAAGTAATGTAATTTAATGTTAATAAATGGAACACTAGAAATAGCTAACCACTAATGGTAAAGAAATATAGCGAGATAAGTGGGAATGCTAACGTATGAACAGTAAGTGCGTACATGTGAAAACATATCGTTATTTCTCTACATATGAATATGAAAGCAACACTTATTTACTGTTCATATATGTTTTAAATAATATTTACGAATGTAAAACAAAATTTCTCCTCACCAATGGTGGTAAAGTCTAAAACATAAGGACAGCCAATGAATATTGTGCGAATTTTTACTCAGATGACGAATTCATCAGGTTCAGCTCTGGCTGAAGCTGTAGCTTTCCATGAAGCTGTTGCTGAAACTGTTACTGAACCTGAAGTTGATGTTGAAGCTGCTTATGATGCTGAATTTGATGGTGTAGCTGAAGTTGATGGTTTAGGCCTTTGAATAATGAAGCTGTCGAAAGAACCTTGCACAGCTGCTTTCTTTTCTCATTATACATCTTTATGTCGAGGTCATTTGCATTTATTTAAATTTTAATGCTGTTCTGTTAATGGATCCACTTAAGAAAATATGTTCATTGCTTGCTCCATATGTTCCATATAATATCCACAGACCTCTCACCTTTTTCATATCATTTTATCACATCTAGTTTCTCAGCTAAGCTTATACACTTTCTATTAGCTTTTGAAACAACACTACCATCTCTTGCTCATGTTGAAAGGGATGCAAAAATGCTGTAAGAAACCTGAGAAAGTTTTTCTCCTGTTCCTGTTCAGATGCGTGACAACAAAAGGCCCGCCAAGCTCCGACTGTTGTTTACTGGCGATGCGCATTACCAATCATTAGCCAGGCAGCTTCTTTGCCTAAGGCACTCTTCATTTTTTATACAGTAATTTTTTTCCTTTTTTTATAATATATATCGGGATTTAGTTATTATTTATATGAAAATGTAATTTTATTTTATTTTTATTATATTTTGGTCATAAATATGAATGAAAGAAGGACGGAAATTGAATTGGGTCCTAAATTAACTAGGGTCTTAAATATTAAAAGTTGGTTGAACCGTTGTTATCGGAGGCTTTACTGCAACTCCAAAGCTATGGGATATTAACACTTAGGTCATGGTGTCATTTATCCTTATGTATGTCTCAGGAATACACTCCCAGAATTATGAAACATATTTCCAAAACACTTGTATAAAGGTCAAAGCCACCATTCCTCCTTGGCCCCACCCTAACCAGGATAAGTTGCCAGGCACCCTCAGCTTTCTTGTTGGGAATCTGCCATTTTATGACAGCTTAGTTATAATTATTATACTCAGTCTAATAGGATTTTATTTTGAAACTCACCATTGGAACTTTTGAAGTTGCTATGTTCAGGTTTTCCCATGATATTTTAGCTATATGGTAAAAAGTATCTTAATAACTTTCCTCATAACTGTACCAGTCAGTTAAATATTATGTATTACACAGGAGAATCCATTTCAAGAAGCTGAGCGTATGGCAGAGGAGCGAAGGAGAAGACGAAGACAAAGAAGAAATGTGTCTCATAATGTGGAATGTGGTCCAGAAGGTTACCAGCGCTTGGCAGAATCCACTGATGATGAGGATGAGGATGAGGAAGAGGAGGACAAGGAGTGTTCAGGAGTAGGAAACAAAATTCAAGACACAGGTATAGATTACTTAACTAATAAATGATAGTTTGAATATACTCCAGCAGCTGGTGCACATCTACTTTACCATTCATTGCCTTCTCTTGTATTTTTAAAAGTGTTAACACATTGGTAATCCTCCTCAAAGCTGAATAGAATCATCTGGCATTGGCCAAATAACACATAAAAAGTGGCAGCCCCTAACTGAGGGAGTTAATGTGATTTTTATCAGTGCAGTGATTTTGATTAAATTTCATTAGATAATTGAAACTAATAATTAGTTATGATATGAAATGTGGGCTTTGTTGTGAAATTGGAGCACTTTTGCAGAAATCTGTTACAGCAGATAGAATGAATGAAGCACAGGAAACAAAGAGATAATTTGTGTTTGCTTGATTTGATCCATCCTCCATCATATTGTGTTTGCTTGATTGTGGCCATCCCTTATCATATTGTGTTTGCTTGTTTCTGGCCATCCTCCATCATATTGTGTTTACTTGTTTCTGGCCATCCTCCATTATATTGTGTTTACTTGTTTCTGGTCATCCTCTATCGTAGTTGTGTTATATCTTATGTGGGGGTTATGTTCCGAAGAGGGCACATAAAGCCAAAAACGTGTACAGGGTATACTCAAAATTGCCCTTGAAAATCAGTTAATCACCCATAAAGTACATGGTGATATATATATTTGTCAATAGCCCATCTGGCAACTCGACTGGTTAAGCCTATTTCAGTTTAAATTTGCACTATACACAGAATGTGCCTAAGAAATTATAAGATAATTATCATCAGGTTAAAAATATAAAGGGAATTAATCATTATGTGTGTCCTGAATTGGTTGATATCAGGACAACAAATATTTACAATACATTATGCTAATTAAATAAACACTCAAAATGGGTGGATTACTTAAGTGGCAATGTCCGAGTTTAGATTACTGTACATCATAACATCAAACTACGTACAAAGTATAAAATTAGGATATCCTACAATATAAATTAATACTCAAGGTTTGCTGATGTGAATGGAGGTCAGGAATTAATGATGAAGCTTGGTTGGTGAGCCTCTCCCTGATCACTGGTTTTACTGAAGGCGGTGGCGTTGTGTTTCTCTGGTCACGATCGTTAAGGAACTTATGCTGGCAGGTATTTTGATATTCAACAATACCTGGTAGGATGCTTGCGCAGACAAAGAAATATAGACTCGTGCAAGACTATTACAGTGGTCCCTCGGTTAACGAACGCCTCGGTTAACGAAATTTCGGTTAACGAATTACCCTCCATAAGAATATTCAATTCGGTTAACGAAAAAAATTCGGTTAACGAATTCCTTACGAATTCCTCTCAACATGTTTTCACTTGCTCACCAGCTGGAATATTTGTCCGCCAATACAGTAATCAGTTCTAGGGCTTAAATTCTTCCTCGTTTGAGTAAATATTAAGAAGGTTGTACTATTCAATAATTTTCCAAGTTTTATATTAAATTTTTTAGTAATTTTAACAATTATTTAACATAATTGAAGTACAGGAAACGAGTTTTTAATGTGCCAAACAGCCACTCAACTCACCAAACAGGCGTCAGTTTGTATCTGGTCAGTAGAGGTAACATCTTGCTTGAGACACTTTTGAACATAAACTATTTTTACGTTTTTACAGTACAATTATTGGTCATTCTGAAATTTATTTTACATATTGACAATATATAGTGCAGTGCAGTGTTGATTTAAAGAAAATAATCTTAAATTACAACGAGTGAACTTAAAATTTTATGGGTGGAATGACGGCATGAAGCATGAGGTGATTTCTCCTCCACCCCACTTCCTTCTCTTCTCCCTTCTCCTCCACCCCCACTTCTAATTCCCATCATCATCATCAACCAGGAGCCTTCTTCATACACACCTCAAAGTAAATGTACTTTACTGCATTTTTTTTTTTTACTTTGTATGTAATTTTCAGTGAGCTGGAACCAATTACCCAAAATCCCATTGAAACAATGGTTTCGGTTAACGAAATTTTCGGTAAACGAACGACCTTCTGGAACGAATTGTGTTCGTTAACCATGGGACCACTGTACTCTAAAAGACTAAAAATGTTATCTAGTGCAAAATATATGATGTCTATATTCATATTATTCGCTGTCTTACAAGGATTCCAGCAATGCAATTTATATTCTGCTAACATTTTATAAGATAAAAACTTTAAGCCTGTAGTAGGTAGTGGGAAGCTACCAAACAGGGAGGTACTACCCTCTGGGAAGATACTAGAAGCATAATGTTTTGTCTAATGGTAGACCCTGCTGCCATATGGCATTACGAAAATTGTGACCAAGTCCCAGGTTGCTGATCTGTCTTTCTGCCACATTTATACACATTTGCACTGACTCAATTGTCTCTATTACTATTGACAACACAACAAATACAACCTTCCTCACTCTTGATCTGTTCTATTCATTGTATTTTATCCTCCTATGATGTCAGTTAATACTAATATTGAAGCGGGGGCTTCTCGGATGGATCCCACTGGTCGGGAAGGTTGTGAACTCCAGGGTCAACCTGATCATTATCAAACCACTGGGGCCTCAACTGACGCCTCCGTGGTTGTTGGCGGATCGGCTTTTTTCACACTTCATTTTTACAACATGCGCGGCCTGAGACCCAACTTTCCTTCTGTGGAGCACCATCTATTAACCTCTTCCCCCGACCTCTTACTTCTCAACTGACCAAAGCAGCTTCACCCAAACCTTTTCAATTCTCCAACTACAACCTTTATACCTCTTTCCGTTCTAAGGGAAGTGTATGCGCCTACTGCAACAAACGTACACCTATAGCTCGACTCATGGATCTTGAATCTTCCCTTTATGATGTCATCTGGCTCAAAATATCTCTACCAACTATGACTATTTTTCTTTGTTTCCTATACTGTTCTCCCAACTCTATCAACTATTTGGAACTCTTTGACTATCTCATTTCTTGCCATGAGTCATTGCTATTCACACACCGCAACACTGAGATCCTCTACCTAGGGGATTTCAATGTACATCACAGAGAGTGGCCTGGCTCTGCAAGGGATGACCCAGGTGGAGCTGAGACACACTCTTTTTCCTTACTTAATGATTTGGAACAAATGATCAAACACCCTACACGCCTTCCTGATCGACACGATCAACTTGCTAACATTCTTAATCTTTGTTTTACCTCTAACCCCCCACACTATTCATACTCAATTTCTGCCCCATTAGGGTCTTCTGATCACAATCTTATTTCTATTAAATCAACTGGGCATGACCACCTCCCCCAACCCCTCTAAACGTCAGCTATGGCACTATTGGAGGGCAAACTGGCAATCCTTGCTGGAATTCTTCACCGACTTTCCTTGGGATGAATGTTGCTTCTCCACTCAGGATGCCCCGGTATGTGCTAACAGCATTGCTGGGGTTATACAGGGTGGTATGAGTGCATTTATCCCATCTTCTACCAAAACTTTCACTTTGCAATCATGATTTGATCGCTCCTGCTCTCTTGCATGCAGGGAGAGAGTTAGGGCATATCAAGCTATGAAACTATCTCCTTCTCCTATTACCCACTCCTCTTTCATTACTTCTAGGAATCGTTGTAAGGCTATTCTTCGTTGGGGCAAGCGGAATTTTATAAAAAGAAAGACCGCTGGCCTTATTAATTCTTCCCCTAGTAAATCCCTCTGGTCCTTTACCAAAAACATCTGTAATAACGTTTTCCTCCTCTCTTCCGACCTGATAACTCTATAGCCAACTCTCCCCCTGACAAAGCCATTCTCTTTGGCACCTTCTTCTCCTCTAATTCCACCTTAGACGATTCTAACTCTATCCCTCCTACTGAACCTATGCACTTTCCTATAATCTCCACTCGGAGGGTTGCTGGTGTGTTATCCAGGTTGGATGTGAGTAAGACGCATGGACCGGACGGAATACCCCCTCGTGTTCTGAGGGAGTGTGCTGAAGCTCTGGCCCCTGAGCTTACTCACATCTTTTGCCTTTGCCTCAAAACCCAAACTTTTCCTTTTTCTTGGAAGCATGCCTTGGTTCAGCCCATCCCAAAGAAGGGTGACCATTCTAATCCCTCTAACTATCACTACATTGCTCTAACTTCATCCCTCTCTAAGATTTTTTAAACTATCTTGAACTCCCATTTTCTCTATCACCTTGAACGCCATTCTCTTTTGTCAGATCACCAATATGGCTTTCGCCAGGCGAAATCTACTGGTGATCTGCTCTCCTACTGCACCCATCTTTGGTCATCCTCTCTTGGGGATTATGGGAAAACTTTAATTGTGGCCCTCGACATCTGCAAAGCATTTGGCAGGGTATGGCACAAGTCTTTGCTTTCTAGACTTCTCCCTCTTATGGTTTCTCTCCCCCACTTTGTTTTCTAATTTCCAGCTTCCATGAGAACCAATCCATGGCAGTTGTTGTCGAGGGATCGATCTCTCGCTCTTTTTCTACCAATAGTGGTGTCCAACAGGTTTCTGTTCTCACCCGCTCTCTTCCTTCATTTTATCAATGATTTACTTCACACTACAACTAATTCTATCCATTCTTACTCTGATGATTCTACTCTTCAATCTTCTTCACATTTTCCCCTTCCCCCTAACTCTCAAACTAGATCTGTTTCTTGAACTGATATCATTACATCTATCAATGCGGATCTGTGCAGCATTTCCGAACGGGGAGGTAGAAACTTGGTTAAATTCAATCATAATAAAACTCAGTATTTACCAATTACACTTTCCAAATTAGATGATCTCCCACCAATCGCATTTTAGGACGCTATCATTCCGCCAAATTCTAAAATACATATGCTTGGCCTCACCATTTCCTCTTAATATGTCATGGAAGCCACACATCCTCAACATTGCTAAAGCTGCCTTTTGGTGTAGATGGTAGGATGAAAGGAGGTATGACCGTTCAATAGTAAGCAAACATCAAGGAAACTGTGTGGGAGGCGAGTAGGATCATCATGACAAAGAAAGGGAACTTCATCATCCCCATTAAGAAACTGAGAGATGTGATCCGTTAAGGGTACATGGAGTGGGAAAATCTGGAGTAAGAGTGGGATGGCGGACATTAAAGTCGCCAAGAGCAAGAGTGGGAACCCCATCATGGAGGTCCAGAAAATCACTCTTGAAATGAACATCGACTACATGAAGGGTCTGGTCACCAAGAGTAAGGGAGACAGAAAGTAATTCAGACAGGGGTCCATGTGAGTCAGGTGAGGTGAGACGAACAGATGGAATGATGTTATGCACAAGGGTGAGGAGGCCACGAGCCTGTCCACAGTACTGAGGCAGGGTGTAAATAGTGTAGCCAGAGAGGTGGAGTGGGGAGTAACATCATCTGTGATGGTTTCCTGAAGTGTAGCAACATCTTAATGGGAGAGCACAAACTGGACGAGGTCTGTCCTGCAAGGTCTAAGTCCCTGGATGTTCCATTGTAAGAAGAGGAGGGAACGGCCTCCTGTGTGAGATGAAGAATCAGTGGGGATAGACGGCTCTCCGGATGAGGTACCAAATTCAGTTGAGGATATTGGAGAGGGAGGAGTTGGAGAGCGAGGGATGGATCCTCCATCTCGGGAGAAAGAAGGAGGCGGGTCACCAGGGCTTGCAAAGTGCCCCCTTTTTGGGTCAGGGTGTCCTGAATGAGTTGTTGTTGCCTCTGCACAGACGCAATTGTCTCCACAAACGAGGTGAGTTGGGCAGAGAGATCTTTGATTTGCTTGGAGTGGCGATCCAGGCGGAGAGTGACTGTTTCCATAAAACCAACTTGGTGTATCTGTGCAGGAGTTGGAGGTGGCGGCGAGGATTGGCGAGGGCCCTACTGGGCAGGAGGTGGTGGTGGTGGTGACGGATAGGGACGGTGAGGGCTCAGGTGAACAAGAGGTGGTGGTGCTGTTGAGAGACAGCGGGGGTCCGGGTGGGCAGGAGGTGGTGGTGACTGTGTGGCAGGGGCGGCAACGACCTTGTTCCAAGAAAGGTTGGGATAGGGAGGCAGGGGAGAAAGGATGGGTGGTTATGGGTGATAGGAGGGATGGTAGGGGAGAGGAGATCAATGGGAAATCCTTGGTGGATGGAAGAGGCGATGGTGGATAGGAGTGAGGTTTGGTTGACGGACTTCGTCAGAGACGAGGGCGGCTGGAACATGGTAAGCTTTCCATGGGCGAGTGCCAGGACGCTGTGGGCAGTTGACATTCCAGGCGCGGTGACTGCCATGCTAGTTGACACACCGTGGAACAACTGCGATTTTATTCTGAATTTTCGATTTGCATTCCACTGTGTCGTGAGGACCTGCACAGAAACCGCAGGCGACCATCCTCGTGCACTCCCAGGTGCAGTGTTTCCACGATTGGCAACAACCACAGATTTTCGGGGTTCCGATAAATCGGTCGAGAGGACAGTTGTGAATAGGTCCTTCATACACTTTCAGGGGTGTGGGTCCCACCCACCAGCCGATGAGTTCGTTAGATGGACGTTTGGAGACTGGGTTGATGCGGCGCTCCATGTCGAGTAGTTGTGGCAGAAGAAGGCGAAGATCATGGATAGGGATCTCCCAGGGTACGGAGCGAACCATTACCTTGGTACGACGAGTTTCTGGGGTGATGGTGGTGAACTTCAGCATCACCTCCCCCTGGTGAGCAGGAAAGCCCTCTTGAATGAGCAGGCATACAGTCTCGTCCGTTTGTGTGGTGACTATTACGGCTGTAGGACCTCGGCGGAGGGGAAGTGTTGAGTCCTGAAGTGGAGAGCAGTGACAGAAGAACCAGGTCTTTCGTGTGCTCAGAGGCAAGTCCGGAGGAAAGGCGAGACGACGAAGGCACAACGGGGCAGGGAGACAAAGGAAATCTCCTATGTCCATCGTCGGCGGAGGGTCGGTCATTGAGCCACATGTAAGCTCACTCGGGGACCCCGACGACAGAAGGAGGTCACCCTCTACAGCCCTAGACGGGGTGCAAGGGGGAGCCGTAGCCCCTGCTGGAGACCGTGACTTCTGAGGTTTCTGTTTCTTAGACTTGTCTTCAAGATGAAAGTCGTCAGCGTCACTTGTCACCTATTGCCGCCGTCTCCAACGAACGGGAGCGTTAAATGGCGGGCACAGGGCACGTTGGCAACACTGCAGTCATGTAGATGGTTTGGCTTGTTTGAGGTGGAGTGGTAAAGACGTCACTGCTACGTCACACTTCACATTGCGCATGCGCAAACTTGAAAATCTTCAACCAGAGAGACCGGGTGGTAAGACGAGATGTTTTTATCAAACAAAAATGACATAAGTCCAAAACTTAAAAAAAAAAAATTAGATGCCACATTGCTGATAACTGGGTCTTACTAAAGTTCTCCGCACAGACTGGGATTAGTAGACTTCCTAAATTCGTCAGAAATAGGACTTTTAAGGAGCAGTCTCTTACCGCCTTTGTTGACACCCACGGCACTCATGCGTATTCCATTGTCAATCTGATTATATCATGGGTATTTTGAGCCCATATTGAAGTCATGCGCACTTGATATTAGGAGATAATCTGAAGTAAATAGTAAATACTTTTAACTATAAAAAATGCCTAAGTACAATACTGCATTAAGGAAAAGGTATTGGAATTTTCTGGTGAAAAGGGCGGTCTAGACCCCCAGGACACCCCCCATTTCCCCTGGTTCTGCCCTTGAGGAGTGACAGAGGCTTTATTGGGATGAAACTGAAAATGGTGATGATGGTGTAGATGCTTCAACTTGCACTTTAATGTTATGTAAATTTACCTTTACCTTGAACCGATTAAACCAGCCCTTACTAGCAACAAATTCTTCCCCATCACTTTCATCACCATGTGCAGCCTTCAAGTCAGTGTACAAGCTTCTCGCTTTGCCTTTTCCTGAACCAGGGCTAGATTTAGAGGCAAATGCAGTTGATTTTGATCTTCCACCCATATCACTAACAATCTTTCTATTTCAATTGTCAGTCAACTAATTTGTTTTGTTGTCACAGTTGATTGGATTGGTGTTGAGGATGCAGTTCATGCTGGTGCACCGTCTCTGTATAGTATTTTCTGAAGCCCACACCTGACACTATTCACGTGAAAAGGATCTTCGTTACTCAGTATGAAATGAGAAATTAATCTTTCTTCGTCAGTAATAAGTTCCTGTAATTTTGTCTAAAATGACATAGGAGCTACAAAATCAGGTGGAAAAATTTCTTGCGCAAGCTGCACTCTTATGCATAGACTTCTCTAAACACTATTATGCACACACTCAATGTTTCCTTATGTTCTTCCACACTGTGGTATACCTGATTATGGATTATCAGCTACCTTCCATCTCTTCAAAATATTTATTACACACACAGATGACATGTTGAGAAGGAACTACTGTACATCAACACCAAATTCTTGATGGTATGCCCTTTGAGCTGCCTTGGTGGAGCACTTGTTCTTGAAGAAAATATCAACAATAGGAGAATGCTGTTGGTTTGTCCACCAATTCATCATGAAAAATTTAACCCTGTATCTTGAATCTGAATAAAGAAAGAAAGAATTGGTTTCACTAATACTATACTGTATGTACTCTGGAAAATGAAATGATATGAAATGCCTACACTTCTTTTGATGGATCCTGTAGTTCAATTTTAACCTACAGAAACAGCCCTAAGTGATGTAAAACATGATCATTGTCCTATTATATTTTCTTCCTGCAAGCCATCTTGGGGGGTCATGGGAGTCCGGACACCCCCCTTCATCAGAAAATTCCAATACTTTTTCTGTAATGTAGTAATGCTCAGGCATTTTTGTATAGCAAAAAATAATTAGTATTGACATCAGAATATCTCCTAATATCAAATGCACATGGTTAGGTTAGGTTTGGGTTGGGTCAGGTTAGGTTAGGTCAGGTCAGATTTAAAAAAAAAATTATGGGGGTGGGAGGGGGGGCTCACTGTGTTCACCATGTTCCCCCACCCACATCTTAATGGACTCCCCTCTTTTGATATTCCTGGTTCCGCCCCTGCACCCTCCACTACAATGCAGTTTACTGGATTCAAGGTCATGACACCCATTCAAGATTGATGTATTTTATTTTGTATTGCTCTCTTATTCAATATATAACCTAATTGGCATCAATTTAACAGAGCACAAAACAGTGGTGGAAAAAGCTGCTTCATGTGATGTAGAAAGTGGAGGTGGTGAGTCTGTTCAGTCGCCAGAAGAACCTCCAGCCACCGTCGATGCCATTGTTCATGACTCCACCAGACCTGCCTTAACAGGTAAGTTATACACCTACTCAGCATATCTTTTCAGCTAATTAAGATGTTAAAAGTCATTTTTGTGTCCTCTATAAAGCAGCAACTTGTTGAAAAATCTCATTGCCTCATGTCTTATATCTTCTGATGGTGTATGTTGGATATATGTGTACAGTAATATACCGGTCTGGATTTACCAATGCAGTTTTAAGTACAGTATCCATGTTTTATATTCTGAATACAATTTTACCAACCGCATTAGGTTTTAAGTATCCGCTGGTGACATTTAGTCCAGCATGGGAGAATGTTAACTGGATCAGGCCTATCTAGTGGTTTATCTTTTTCACTTCATTTTGCATTAGTAACTTTGAAAACAATTTCCTACACAGTCTTTCTACAACCTGGTAGTATTCATCAAATAACCCTCAACCAGCAGCTAAGGATACCCTATTCCCCCCCCCCCTTAAAAAAATGCAAAAATACAGGTATCCCTCGAGATACAAATAGGTTCGGTAAAACATTTATTAAGTGAATTTTCGTATCTTGAATAAAGTACCATGGGAAAAATAGGGTTCAGTTCCCTACTGACAAAAATACCCCTATATCATACCCCAAAAAACTAATGATAAATAGTACACAACTACTAAAATTTACTACCTAACAAATGAAAATAATTAATAAAACACAGTTGAACTTAGGTAAACTTCCTTAAGGGAGGGCGTAATACCCACGTGGGATGATGGGAAGTTTGTGTGTGGAAGAACTTATTTTTCGTACATAAAATAATATACAGTGGTTCCTCGGTTAACGAGCACAATTCGTTCCAAAAGGTTGCTCGTTAACCGAAAAATTCGTTAACCGAAACCATTGTTTCAATGGGTTTTTGGGTAATTGGTTCCAGCTCACCGAAAATTGCATAAAGTCAACAAAAAAGGTAGTAAAGTACACTTACTTTGAGGTGTGTATGTAGAAGGCTCCTGGATGATGATGCTGATGTGAATTTGAAGTGGGAGGTGGAGGAGGAGAAAGGAGAAGAAAGTGGAGGTGGAGGAGGAGAAGGGAGAAGTGAAGGAAGTGGAGGTGGAGGAGGAGAAGGGAGAAGAGAAGGAAGTGGAGGTGGAGGAGAAGCATTTTACAGTAAAAGTCCAAAAATCCGGATGCCAGAAATCCGGACTACCCGAGAATCCGGACTTTTCGAAAACTGATTTTTTTTTTTTTTTTTTTTAGCAGGCTTTTGTGTGTATGTGCGCATGCGTGAGCGCCACAGCTGCACAGCGACAACAAGCGACCACGTGGTCGCCAATTTAAAACGAGCAATCAAACTGTGACAACATACCGTTTATAGGTCGACCCTGATTTTTTGATCAAGAAATCGTTAATTTATGATATTCCTCGTTTATAGTTTGACCCACGTTTTTGAGGGTAATGGAACAGCAAAACCTTCAGTAAAAACACTCTATGTCCTATAAACTGAGGCTCGCCGTGCCTGAAACACAAGTGCCGAAGGCAAATTGTTTACCATTTATTATTACGACACTTTACACTGGAACGCAGGTAGTTTCAAGAAAAATATTGTATATTTCCATTCAAATATTTATTCAAGTCAATTAGGAGGGAATATTATTGTAATGCAACAGTTTTTAACTAAACCATTCGAAAAGCGATTTCGGTAACATCTTTTGAACGAAAGAAAGCGAAAGTCATTGTTTTCGTCACGATTTTATCCCACTTTCCACTGTAATACGTATGTAATTTTAGCAAAAATATTACATTTCGTGAATATATTATATCAAGCACAGTATGAATAGAATATCATTGTAATATAACAGAATTTTATCCGAAAACTATTAAAAAAACGAGTAACATCTTTAGAACATCGGAAGCTTAGGTAAAGTCTTTTGTTTTCGTCATGTATTTTTATCCTATTTTACATTGAAATACATCACGTTTCAGCAAAACTATTTATTTCCAAGAATATATTCATTCAGGCGCAGTTTAGGTAAAATATACGGGTGATGTAATAGTTTTTTAACTGAAAACGATTCGAAAAACACGTACCCTCTAGCCCTGTTCAAGGAGAGGACTGGGAGAAGCTGTTTGGTGCTGCAGACAATGACAAGGAAAATGATTTTGATGGATTTTAATGAAAATATTCAGAAATATGGTATCGTAGTATTTATTCAAGTCAATTAGGATAGAATATTATTGTAATACAACAGTTTTTTAACTGAAAACCATTCGAAAAGCGATTATGGTAACATCTTTTGAACGAAAGAAAGCGAAAGTCATTGTTTTCGTCACGATTTTATCCCACTTTCCACTGTAATAAGTACGCCATTTCAGCAAAAATATTACATTTCCGTAAATGCATTATATCAAGCACAGTATGAATAGAATACCAGTGTAATATAACAATATTTGAGTCTTACTCTTTCCATTTACAGAGTACTGTACAAGCCCATAATAATGGCTCCTAAAGTAGATAAACTTCGTTGTGTGAAGAGAAAGAAGAACTCGTTGAAATTGAGTGACAAACTCGAAATAATTAAGAAACTAGAACGTGGTGTGAGCAATACTGTTCTAATGGAAACATACGACATTGGAAAGTCTACAATTTATGATATAAAAAAGGCAAAGAATAAAATTCTAGAATTCACAGCTTTTTCATTAAAACTGCTCATTTTGGTAAATGAAGCATGCTATATTTGCTAATGAATAAACTATCAAAGTGTACCTCTTTATCTCTTCTTTATTCCTCCTTAAATTTGAATTTTAAAAGTACTGCCTGAGAATCCGGAAAATCCGAAAATCCGGACCGACCCAAGCCCCAAGCAGTCCGGATTTATGGACTTCTACTGTACTGCTTCTTGGAAGGTGAGTCACCTTCCATGAAAATGTCAGGAACCTCTGGACTGACAGATTCTCCAGCAGGAACATCCTCTCTCCTTCTTGAAGTGGAAGGCTGAGGGCTAGCATCTTTTTCCCGCTGCCTTTTACTGAAGAAACTGTCAATACTTGTTTGTGGGGCATCTCTCCTCCTCATCATTAACTGATGTTTGAAGAAGGAGACCACTGTGTCCTCAACATTACACAAAGCAAGTTCTGCTTTTTCCACATTAGGGTACCTTGAAGCCAGTTTCCTGAACTTCTCCCAGTAGTGAACAACATCTTTCAAATCTGAAGTAGACATATGATCATCACTTTCCTTTTCCTCCTCACCACTGTCAGCCTCTAACATCTCATCCAGTTGCTGCAAGTCTTCAGGAGTAAGTTCCTGCTCATGAGACATCACAAGCTCTTCTCGATTAGCATCCTCCACTTCAAGGCCCAATGACTGATCAATGGACACAATCTCCTGGTCCAACTCTGCTTCTTCCTCAAATCCCTCAAAATCATGGACTACTGATGGCCACAGTGCTTTCCATGCAGAATTGAGGGATCTAGTGGAGACTTCTTGCCATGAGGACACAATCAATTTTACAGCCTCCATGATGTTAAATTGTGTCTTCCAGAACCGTGCCAGTGTTAGTTCAGGATCAGTGGAAGTTGCCTGATGACACCTCCTGAACATTTTCTTCATGTACAGCTTCTTAAAGTTGCTAATCACATTCTGGTCCATTGGCTGTATGATTGATGTAGTGTTGGGAGGCAAAAACAACACTTTGACAAAGTCAAATTGAGACTCCTAAGTGCTGGCAAGTTGAGGGTCATGACCAGGGGCATTATCCATAAGGAGAAGAGCCTTTAAAGGAAGTTTATTGGTGGTTAGGTAGCTCTTCACAGAAGGGCAAAACACCTCAACTGCCCATTCATTAATGAGCTCTCTTCTCATCCATGCCTTACGGTTGGACTTCCAATAAACTCCAAGCCGTCCTCTTACCACTTTTTGTTGCTTGAACACCCTGGGGTTCTCAGAGTGGTAGACAAGCATGGGCTTCAGTCAGAAATCCCCTGTAGCATTGGCACCAAGCAATAGAGTGAGACGGTCTTTCATGGATTTATGCCCAGGTAAAGAGGCTTCATCTCTGGTGATGAATGTCCTTTTGGGCATTTTTTTCCAGAACAGCACAGTTTCGTCCACATTGAACACTTGCTGTGGAAGATAATTTTCTTCATCCACCAGGTCTTTAAAGTCCACTATAAATTTTGCTGCTCCTTCCTTATCAGCACTGGCAGCCTAACAACACTAAAAATGGCACTTCTTTTCTTAAATTTTTTGAACCAGCCCTTGATGGCCCTAAACTCTTCAAACTCTGTGCCTGAAGAACCAGGTTGATCTGCCTTTAAATGTTCGTAAATCTCCCTGGTTCTTTCACAAATAAATTCGGTCGAAACTGAATCACCTTTCATTTGTTTTTCCCGAATCCAAATGAGAAATAACCTCTCTGTTTCTGATATTAGGGATCTACTGTACCTTTAAACACTCTGGTATATTTGTCTCTCTCTTTTACTTCCTTGAATTTGTCTTTCTGTGAAAGAATTGTCGACATGCCATATTCTTTGCTAAGCACATATGTTCTGATGCCTTCTTCATGTTTCTTAATAATTTCCTGTTTCACCTGAATTGAAATCGCTTTTCTTGATTTCTTGGGACCCATGCTGGATTCAAAAACAATTTCAACACTAAAATTTTTAGTTTCATTGCTGTAAATAAAGAATATTTTCTTTAAATCAACACTGCACTGCATTATATATCATCAATATGGAAAATAAATTTCAAAATGACCAATAATTTCACTGTAAAAACGGAAAACATAGTTTATGTTGGAGAGTCTGAAGCAAGATGTTACATCCACTGAAAAGACACAGAGACTGATGCCTGTTTGGTGTGTTGAGTGGCTGTTTGGCATGCTAAAAACTAGTTTCTCTGTACTTCAATTATGTTAAATAATTTTTAAAATTACTAAAAATTTTAATATAAGACTTTCAAAATTATTGAATAGTACAAACGTCTTGATATTTACAAAAATAGTAAGGAATTTAAACCCTAGAACCGATTACTGTATTGGCGGACTAATACGACAGCTCGTGAGCAAGCGAAAACATGTTGAGGGGCACTCGTAAGGAATTAGTTAATCGAGGGATTGCTCGTTAACCGAAGTGAAGAATCTTATGGAAGGTAATTTGTTAACCGAGGGATCACTGTACTGTATATACTGTACAGTAATACCATGGTTAGCACTTCCCCATAGAGTGCTGTTTTGTTATAGAGCTCTTGTTTGCATCTTAGAGCCCATGGAAAAAAATTAAAACTAGAAAAAATATATGTAAATAATTGTAGTCAAAAATTATGAGTCCGAACACTCACAACAAACCAATAGCAGCTGTCTTTCTTTTTACTCACTTGACCAATCAGCACCAAGCACTCTATGTTTACCCCAAACATCACCCTCAATCCTCCAACACTGCCCACAGTCCCCCAACACTGCCCACAGTCCCCCAACACTGCCCACAGTCCCCCAACACTGCCCACAGTCCCCCAACACTGCCCACAGTCCCCCAACACTGCCCACAGTCCCCCAACACTGCCCACAGTCCCCCAACACTGCCCACAGTCCCCAACACACCCACAATCCCCAACACCTCCCACAATCCCCCAACACCACCCACAATATTCCAACACCACCCACACACCCCAACACCACCCACACACCCCAACTCCACCCACACACCCCAACTCCACCCACACACCCCAACCACACACACCCTTCAACACTACCTAGACACCCTCTAGCAACACCCACACACACCCTCCCACACCACCCACACACCCTCCCACACCACCCCACACCCTCCCACACCACCACCCACCACACCCTCCACACCACCCACACACCCTCCCACACCACCCACACACCCTCCCACACCACCCTCACACCCTCCAACACATCCCACACACTCTCCAACAACACCCACACACCCTCCAACACATCCCACACACCATTCAACACCATCCAACACCACACATACACTACCACTTACTACTTTGCTGTCACCCGGAATCGAGTATGACGATCATTCAGCTATGATACAATGATATGAGTTATTAGGGATGTCACCTAGGTTGGTGAGTTCTGAGGTGGCTAAAGAGGCCAATACAGAACCGGCAGGGTCGATCACAGATGTTGCACATGTGGAGGGCTACGTCTTTCCGGTGTTAGCACTTGTCTGCCTCGTTATGCAGTCGGCCTAACTCCAAGCGTTACAGTGTGGAGTAAACGTCTGCCAGGTGAGGGGGTCGATTTGGCACTTTTTATGGTTTGTCTTAGGACTACCCTTATACCTTTTCAGTTGCCCGCCAGCATTACGTTTCCTATGCATTAGGTGACTGTAAAGTAGCTGTTTTGGCAGTCTACTGTCGCTTGTAGATAATCTTGTGACCTGATGTTGGCGCCCACTGTCTGGATGGCCGTCGTACCTGGGTGCTAATCCGTTACCTCACTACAGCTGCAGAAGTTTAGGACAACCACCACGTGGTCTGGGTAGGTCCTTCAGCTCACACAGGGTATTGGAGGTGGTTTTTGTTCCTCATATGATGTAGTTTGGAATTTATAGTTCCTCACCTGAGCAGAGTAGGGAGTCCTCATTTCCATCCTGATGTAGTTTAGAGTCTTTCTTGGCTTCTCATCCCATGTTGGTCATGGTGAGTGTACGGCGGACAGGTCCGTGTCAGTTCAATATTGACCTCTAAGCACTATTGTCACTCTAACAGTTGTTTCTTTGTTTCGAGTTGAAATTTTCACGTTGATATATCAGTTCTGGGTTGATCATCAATCTTTGCACTGTACTGTTGGTGGGATTATGTTGATAAATCTAGATGGGGAGGAGGAGTTGGGGAAGGCCCGACAGACCAGGCAGGCAGGCAGCTGTCTCCATGGTCTAGAGACCATGGCCGCGTGAGCGGGCAGCGCCGACGTCCTCACCCTATGAAGGCTGAAGACGCGTGTGTGTGCGCGCGCACGCATGGCGCTGCGTTGCGTTGCATTATTAATAATAATTAACGGTTTATTGAAAGAGCATGGCAGCCAGAAGGCTGAAAATATACAGTTACATAATTGGGGAATGGGTCTGTTGATTTACAAACAATATACAAGTGACATAAGTGATACAAATATGATATATAATAACTAGGTGGGGAGAAGCTCAGACTACAGGGCATTTCAATATACAGTCATCCCTTGGTTATCACGCCTAATTGGGACTGCGCCGAGTGCGTGATAACGAAAAACGCGATAACGAAAGTACAGAGCCTATGGAATTTATTCTAATTGGTTCCAGGCACCCAAGACTCAACACCTACTTAACCATTTTACAACCATTTAGACCCACTAAATATATATATAATGTTAGGGTACGCTCAATACTGTAGTCTACAAAACATGTAGCTATGCTTTCTTTATTTGAGTCCCTCGTCATAGGAGTCCGTTTTCTCATCGCTTCAGGACGCCTGAGTCCTCCGTTTTCTCTCAATCTTAGAGTGCACCCGAGACTTCGTTATTCCTTAGTAATGACACAGAATTTGAAATTGCAACTGGGATTGTAATTGTTGAGGCAACTTAGATATGTCTGATTATAGTTGGAACATTCAAGATCCATTGTGATTGATGTCGAAAGCTTAAACTGTCTTTATGGTTGGTAGAACTTGTCAAGGAAGTGAGTGTCAAGTCTGTCAGTATGAGTGGCATGTGTGAGTGCTTGTGTTTGTACAACCACTTTCAAGTTTTGTTACCTCCATCCATTTTCATCCATCAAATGTGTTTTTGTCAATTTGTAGGTGAAAGATTTAATCCTCAATAAATGTAGGTGAAGGAAGGGGGTAACATTACACCCAGAGGCAAATGCGTGATAACCAAATTCTCGGCCTGAAAAATGCGCTATAACGACAGGTGTGCAGATTTTGATGGAGGCGTGATTATGAAAATCGCGATAACCAAGTGCGCTATAACCAAGGGATGACTGTAGTGACAGTGCAAAAAGTAAGATTGACTGGGAGTGAATACAATGGTTGATTACAAGTTATTGATAATTTTTACAATTGTTGGGACTGTGCTGTTGTTATGGCGATCAGTTCGTGCTCGTATGGGCTGGATGTGGTTGTGGTGTCGAACAGCTATTCTCGGGCGAGGGATCTCGGGTGGTAGTAGGAGCCGGTGTTGAGGATGGTGCAGAAGCTTCTCACCAAATTTGCAGATGAGGTCGTGGTGATGGTTAGTGAGAGCCTAGAGGGTCAGTGTGTTGAGCACTTCTTGATATGTGGAGTAGGAAAGGGAGAGAATAATCTTGCATGCCCTCTTTTGCACTTTTTCTAGGTGTTTACATTGTGTAGCATTTAGGGAGGAACACCAGGTAGGGGAGGCTGAGGTGAACTTGGGAAGTGTGAATGTTGAGTAAACACTGAGGAGCTCGGGGGCAGGAACTCCGAGGGACTTGAGTCAGCGGAGGAGGTGGAAACAGAAACTGGAAGATTTGACAACTTCACTGACGTGTTGTTTCCAATTTAGTTTGTTGTCTATGGTGATCCCGAGGAGCTTAGTGGAATCTACATCCTGGAGTGTTTTGGGACCTAAAGTAATGGAGGAGAGGTTGATGTGCATAACCATGGTCTTGGTATGGTTGATGGTGACGGGGTTGTTGGTGGCCCAGTTTTGGAGACTTCAATAAATCCTGAAGGGCGGTATAGTCGGGAGCAGAATTGTTGATGCTGATCCCAATGGTGGAGTCGTCGACATATTTCCAGCGAGCAGGGGTTTGTCTTAGGGCATCATTGATAAGCATAAGGAGCATATTGGTCCCATCTTGGTGCCTTGTGGGATGCCACAGGTGAGTGACTGAAAGGTGGAGACAGCCCCTCGGAAGCGACAGCTTGGCGTCAGTTACTGAGGAAGTCTGTAAGCCATGGTATAAGACTTCTTCGAAACCTGAGGTCGATAGCTTTGTTGATGATTAAATTGTGGTCGACGAGGTCGATTGCCTTAGTGAAGTCAATGATTGCGACAGCTACAGATGTTTTTCGTTTCTCCAGATGGCGGTATATGTACTCGAGAAAGCTGACATGGCAGTAAGTGGTGGAGGAAGATTTCATATTACCAAATTGCTAAAATAGTGATTTTTGACAGTTGCAAAGTACTGTAATTTATTTTAAACACTTTAATTGGGTAACAGTCAGAAAAATGCATGGATTTGCAGAAAAATGGATGTCTTTAATACGAATTTACTGGGTCAAGGTGTAGAATCACAGGAATACTTTAAATGAGAGTTTAAAATTTGAGCAAGTAGATATTGAAGGAAAATAGATATTTGTAATTAAGTGACCATTTTATTCCCTTTTTTTAGATACATCAAGTTTGTCGAGCAACAATAGTGCATCCTCCCATGGCATTCCTCCAGGCCCTGTGCAAATTGCTGTTGATGTTGTTAACTCACCTCCGCCAGGTTCCTTGCCAGTGCCACAGCCTTCCCTCTCAACTGAAGGTGCAGGAGCTGAGCGAGATTATGTAGTTTAAAATAGATCATGTGAAAGAAAAGATCTGAATTGATCATGTCAAGATTAGTATCTTTGGTCTTGTTTTTCATTTCAATTCCTTGAGAAAACTTAAATTTAACAATTTTTGAATGTATACATTGTAAGTAACAGTTACATATTAGCCATAATAGGAATTTGCATTTTGTACGGTTTGTTTTGGGCTGAGAGAGAGTTGCAAAATTCTCAAGTGACATTGTGGAAATGTTAAGATATGTTTTGAAGCTTGGTTATCTTCGTAAAGATTTTTTTATACTGTACATGTATCTACTGGATATGGTACAAGTAATAGACAAAAATTACATGCTAATGTTAGTGAAATCATTTGTTGATCCAATAATTTAGGTATTATTCACAAGTACAGCGTATTATTATTATTGAATGTGAAATTTTTTATCAGTAAAGCAAGCAGACAAAACAAATCTCCCTTATACCAATTACTACATAGGTCTTGGTTACATTTTGAACCCTCACAAAGCCATATATAATTTTCTTCAGTGTGACATAAGAATTATGCCAGTAGATTAATACTAGTGGTTACTGCTGTATATCACTACAGTACAATGTCGGACATTATTGGAATTTTAAGTACTCAGAAATATGAAGTAAGAGCTAAACATCTCTTTCATCAGCTTCAGTTTTCAGTGTCAATATTTTTATCCCATGTTGGTTGTGAGGTCAGTAGTTCCTACCTCATTAACATGCAAACACCATCTTAGGCCAAAGCCTTTCGTGGTATACTCTGCCTTGTCTGTTAGGAATCCCTTGAAATACATTATGCATAACTTTCTTATTCAATAGACACCATAAAGTGTAAAGTTGTAACAAAAACACCATAAACTTGATAAGCTAAGTATTGTACTCTGTATGTTGGTCAATCATGAATTTATATATTTATTCACTTGATTATTTTTAGAGTAATTCTTTTACTTAAAGAATAATCCATTGTCTAATCGCAGTTACTTATTGTACATTTGAAATGCATAACAGTTTTGGATTTTTTTTCTCCAAAATCCACCATAACATTTAATTTCCATCCACTGCTTAAAACAATTTATTTGTGAAATAAAAATCATACAGTATCTTTCAGCAGTTTTCAGAAGGTGTGATATGTTTTACTTGTCTCAAGGTCCTGTTCACAAGTTCATGTTATTTTTTGTAAATATTATAAAGTAAGGAATTTTATAATTGATATAAGAAAATCATTGATGTGGAAATAGGGTAAAACATAGGTTACAGATGATAAAGCGACTTATATCCAGGTTATGCAGGATTTAAAGTGCCATTACACTCACACACACTCTTTCTCTCTTTCATTTTCTTTCATAATCAGAGTTGTATTAATTTTTTTACCAATAATTATTTATGATATATATATATATATATATATATATATATATATATATATATATATATATATATATATATATATATATATATATATATATATATATATATATATATATATATATATATATATATATATACAGTGTGACTGAGCACTTACCTTTAATGTAGTCAGCTGAATGCACACGGGGCCCCCATAATTTTCTAATTATACATGGAGACTACATTAACTGGAAACGTTTCGGTATAGAAAATGCACGCGTCATTTGGAAAAAAAAATGGAAAAATGGGTCACAACAGCGGCGGTCGTAAGTCCCAACGGTCATAAGGTCAGAGCAGGTTGTAAGTACCGATGGACGTAAGTCGGGGACTACCTGTGTGTGTGTGTGTGTGTGTATATATATATATATATATATATATATATATATATATATATATATATATATATATATATATATATATATATATATATATATATATATATATATATATATATATATATATATATATATATATATATATATATATAGGAAAGAAGAAAGAAAAACCAGCGCATACCCAGATCGCACTCAGTGATTTACTATATATATATATATATATATATATATATATATATATATATATATATATATATATATATATATATATATATATATATATATATATATATATATATATATATATATATAAAGAGGCATTGTGTGGAAAAACTAACACAAGCACCATTCTTTATTTTTTTCAGGAAATGCATTCAAAGTTTGCAACATTCAAAAATTTATAACATGGAAAGTATTTAGTTAGAATGTTGCAGTTTGTTCTAAAATGAAGCTGGATGTTTGTAAATTATGCAGAAAATAATAATTTACAATGATACTGTTAACTTCATCTTACATAACCCAACCTAACCAAAAATAATGTTTCCTTAATGTTTTGCAATAAAAACTCGGGTAAACGTTTTTGTTTTCTAATCATGATTATCGTAATAAAAATAAACCCTAAATTGGTTTTCCACTGTGAGAGGCTACACTGTCATCAGGCTTTGGGACACTGACTCCCTAGGTGGCTTCTGAGAATAAAACATAACTGAAGAGAAGCCTCCAATCAACGTAGAGGGCTCAGGCTGGGCCTCAACATCGTCAATGTCGTCACTATCACTTGACATTGTTGTGTAGTGACAATACACAACCACAAATGGCGATATTAATGAAGAAAAGCACGCTCCCTTAGCACGAGATAAAATTCCTCCGCACTCAAGTCTCAAAACAAGGACTGAAAAGAAGTGCGCCATCAGCCCTGCCCGGCATGCAGTTCTGCTTGCTGATTGGCTGTCTCCACCGTAAAACTCCCTTCTTATCCCCAAACCCCCACCCCAAACCCACAAACACACTTACAGCCTTATGACATAAGGCTGTATGTTTCACACAAAGAATTTGGCGTATGTGCTATATTCACCAAGCAAAAATGGTCAAAATGTTGCTTCGATGAGATACGGACCAGAGCTAGGTTTATGTCTATGAACTTTTAACCAAATGGTCAGTAGCATTTTTGCACTTCATCCATCACCTCATGAAAATTGTGTTTTAAGAACCGTTTGCAGTCATAAACATGATTGTGGCCTGGGTGCCGCTTGTGTTAGTTTCTCCACGCAACGCCTCATACACATATATTTAGTTAATATTTCTAAAACTTTTTATTTTGGTGAGTGTATAATGTTTTTTTGGCAATATTGTTGTTGCCCATAAAGTGAATACATGAACAGCCATTGATTTTAACTATGTTTTTTGTGAATTTTTTCTGATCCCCATTGTAGGTATTAAATGTGTGTTATATCATGCTCTCACTTATTTATATTAAGTCACTGTTAATAAATTTTAGATGTAAACTTTTAGACAGACTTTTGCATTCTTTTAGTTCTGTTGCGGCCAGCTTTGTATTTCCACACTCATATAATTTCCAGATTTGTTTATTTATATTCATATTTTCACTGATGCAACTTGTATGTAATATTCTTATATGTATTATCTTCAAACTGCCTAATGAAGTATTCTTCCCACTTTTCCCCAAGGCTTGTCAGCTTCTTGTCACTAAATTTTATGCAAATGAAATAGTTTCAAAAATTGTCACTGCTGGATATTTTTTAATTACATTTTGTTATTCTGATTGATTTTAAAGGTAATATGAGGTTATGGATCCCAGGAGCTTTTATAATAAGACAAAAGATAAAATGCTTTACCAATTATCCAGGGGTATGCTGGCAGTTCCTAAACCGGTTCCATTAAGGTCAAAATTCAGATGGTGGTGTAAATCGGCAGTGCCAACAGCGCAAACCTTTGGGCTTATTTCACATATCCTTTATACCCACTAATGATGTAATTACAATTTTTCAATAAATAATAACTAGATATAGTAATGACCTCTGCTTTTGATACGACAGTATAGTCTGGTTTTACGCAGTTTAATTAAACCCATGGAGGTCCGCTTATAAAGCGAAACGTGTAAATAAAATAACAGAACCTATGGGATTATAGAGACTGGGCCGACCGCCAGACTACCCTTTTTTTTTTGGCTATCGCCGACACAATACTGTACATTGTAGTAAAAATAACATCTTAATTTTATGATGGTATGCACACACAATTAATATATAAGAGAAATATTAATAATATTAGGTTTTTTAACACTTACGTTAGTAGAAGAGATGGCTGGGCACATGGGATGGGGGGTTGGTTCCGAGGCAGAGGGCAGATTATTGGCCCTCACCTGTCTCTCTATCCACCACAGAGGTTAGCAGGGCATCCTCGACAAACCCCTCGAAGTCCACATCCTCACTATCACTGACTTGGGCTGGCTGTGGTGGTTGGCGGGTGAAAAACTCAGTGATGTTTTGTTGATGGCTAGCAATGATGTGGTCGTGATACAGCTGAACATAGGGCTCCTGGGATTTCAACAGATGGTTATTAGACACTTTGTAGTGATGATTGACTGGGTCTTTGGCAAGGATGAGCTTCATTCTCTCAGCTAGCTCAATGATTTCCTTCACATGCCACCACGCATGCTGAATTGTTGCCACAGATAGCTACCCCCATGCCTCCACCAAGAAATCAACAGCCTTCTTCACGTTAAACAGCTTCCAGAACTGCTTGACCCGCATTTCATGGTCCACCAAATCTTGTTCGTGTTCCTCATCCTCGCTATCGGTGCCTCTCTCTAGGTTCTGCAGTTCATCCTTGGTGTTGGTGAAGTCGTTCAGGAGCCGAAACTTCTTGGCGGAGAAAGCAGCCTTCATGTTGCAAATTAACTCATGATCCATGGACTGGATTAACAACGTAGTGTTAGCGGGAAGGAAGACCACTTTTACGTTGGGGTGACGATCCATCAAAAGGGGCGAGTGTCCTGGTGCGTTGTCGAGGAGCAATAAAATGTTGAATGGCACATTATTTTCCTCGCAGAATTTCTTGATATCAGGAACGAGACAGTTGTCAAACCAGGAGAGGGACAGACCAGAGAACATCCACGCCTTCCGTGAGGTTAGCCAGTGGACATTTAACTTGCTCATGTCCATATTCTTGTAGGCATGCAGCTTGTGGGCTTTGTGGATCACAGACAACTTTAGCTTAGCAGTGCCAGAGGTATTGGTGGTGAACACTACGGTGATGCGCTCCTTCTGCATTTTGCGTCTCCAACACTTGCTAGCAGACTTGACTATGAAGGTCTTGGATGGCAATTTCATCTGGTACAAACCTGATTCATCCATATTGAACACTTGGTTGTCAGTGTACTGGCCTTCCTCCATAATTTCCCGTAAAAATATGGGAAAATTCCTGGTGGCAGCCCGGTCGGCACTTGCTCCTTCTCCAACTATCTTAATATTCGCGATTTTGTTGCGTCATTTAAAACCTTGCAGCCACCCAGCGGAAGCACTGAAGGGCTGAGGCTCCGCAACCCCCATTTTTCTTGCTACTGCTGTGTGTAGTTCCCGGGCATGGTCCTGCAGTGCCCGAGTGTCGACCGCCATGTTCCTTCTTGACTGACAAATAATGTAGCTTACCAACAAACTCTCGCTGGCAATATTTCACCAGCGAGGCACCTACAGACTTTGTAATGTTCATGTGTTCATTGATTTTGCCGGCATCCTTCTTGATAGTGCGGATTGTCCATTCATTCACTCCATATTGTCTGGCCAGATCCACCTGTCTCGTGCCTTTTTCTAACTCCTGGACGATCTTGTACTTTACCTCATAGCTTAAGGCGCGTCGCACCTTCTTGGGCTTGGGCCAGGTAGTTCAGGGCTTCTCGGGGGTGGTGGGGGTCCAGCGGAAGCCATTGTGTAGAAAGAAAAAACAAAACCGGTTCCTGGGCACGAGTGAATATACACTGGGACAGTGAGACTGACGCGACGGCAGTGGAGAGCATGGGTGGCAAGGGAGGCAAGGATAACTAGACCAATCACAGCCCGCGGCGGAGGGGGTGCGTGGGTGGTAAGGATACGTGGCCCAATCACAGTCCGCGACGTCACCGGCGCGAGTCTGACGTCAGCACTTTGCCCTGCTGCTTGCCGCATATGTGATGGCATTTACCGCGTAAATAATAATTATCTCTTCTGAGCAGGTGCCGGGTAAATGGACGCCTGCGTAAAACTAGACTATATTGTACTTATATTTTTCTATAGATTCCTGAAAAAATATAAGAAAAGATATAATTTTCCTACTCAATCATGCTATCTCAGTGAAGAAGTTTCTATATAGCCTGTTGGCTCTGCCATAGTTGAGTATCAGCTTTTCACAAACTGTAATATCATTAACTTGATGACATTTTAGCCATGATGACAAATTTTAGGATTAGAAAAAACGAAGCCAACGTTAGGTTTTTATTATCAATTCAAAGGTACTGATTCTGAATTTGAAAACCATTTTCGCGTAATAGCTGTTCAAACTTCCATACGCAGAATAATATTAA